AAGCAAACATGAAAATTTGCAGGGTCACCTTCCATTTCGTTTAATAAGGAAAGTAGAAAGGACTTGTAAGTTGGCCTAACCGGAAGCTATAGATGGATTGCCTTAGAGCTGGAGCTGTAGATTTGTGAAAAAATTTTGACGGCGCAATATGTGCACAAATACAAGGTGGCCGACTTCAAGCTTACCTACTTCTTATAGTCCAATTTGGTCCACCTAATAAGGCATTACATGGTTTGGTTGGATATCCTATGCTTTGCATAATTGTTTGCTAAAAAGTGGTTGCAATTGAAGCTTGAAACAGATGCGATTGTGAACAAACAGCTACATCCTCCCCTAAAACACTTGTACTTTTGATCCTGCAAATGTGGTTGCGTATGTGGTTGCGTTACATTGCACGCGTTTTGTGTGAAAGCATTGCTCTTAAAGTGAGTGCGATGTGAGGGCCAAAACCGAATTCAAGACTAATTAAACTTTCTCCTTCCGCTCGGTAGTACTTCTCGTTGTTCCTCTCTCTCTCCCTCATCTTATCCAATAGTCACAAGTAGCTAACACTCAATTTCCTACACTCAATCCTTCTATTCAGGGTGTTGGCTGCTTTATTGATTTATATCGCTTCTCTAAGACCAAATTAGATAGAGATGTGTATAGGACACCCACAAATGCAGGTTTCTTTCGAATTTCTTCTCTAACCACAGTTATGGGGTTAAAATAGCAATTATGAGGTCTATGTTAATAAGGAACATGCGTCTGGCAGATGTTAAACATCGGGAGCATGAATTAAGGACTAAGATGAATTCTTGTTGAGAACAATTATTCACGAGGGCTAATTGACAATTATTTTTAGAATATTGTCAGACGGTTGAGGGAAATACATATTTGGGGCCGGATAAAAGATTATATTACTGTAACATAGTCATTATGTTGCTATCGTGTAATATATCGAAGAAGATATGCGAATTACTGAGGTGGGACATCAGGACTATTTATAAAGGGAAAATAACACTTTTTTCGGTGTTTGTTCTTTTCGAGAATACTTTGACGCTCTATAAATCGGGCTATTACAAGGTTTTGTGTTTGTGCGGTACCGCATATGTGGGAGAGATCTGTATGTCTATATCTGAACACAAAACAGCCTGCAAGAATCTGTAGGTCCAAAAGTCGGAATTGGCCGAATACATGGCTCGTACAAGAGACCAGATAGACTGGCCTAATGTCAAACGCTTAGCAGGATATGGGGACTTTACCAGTAAGCGAAAGATTAAGGAAGCTATAGAAATAAACAAAATAGCGAAAACCTTGAATAGAAAGAATGAGTATATGAAGTAAAGTGGAAACTATTTGTGAATATTATATAAGATGAGAGGGGGGAGGAACGATAAATACCACCGAATAAAAGGTTTGATTAGGCTCGAATCCGGTTTTGACTCTCACATCACTCTCTTACAAGAGCAATGCGTTTAAAAAGCGCGCGTGCAATGTAAGACAATCACATGCGATAATATTGTAGGATCAAAAGTACAATTGGTTTAGGGGAAGATGCAGCTGTTCGGTCACAATCGCATCCGTCTCACGCATCATCAGTGAGACGTTTGGGAATGTACCACGTCCACGGTTCAACTTTGGAGATGATAATGCAGACAATGGACTCCGGACTA